GACTCCGTCTCAAAAAAAAAAAAAAGTCCAGGGGGACCCACTTATGGTAGGAGTGGAGGGAGACAAGGTCCCAAGCTTTTCTGAGTTTTACTTTCAGGAGCTCAACCAGGTTCCCAGAGCCTAATCTACTAAGGTTTTGTCAGAGCCTAACTAACCTGAGCAAAGAATATACCAAATCCATCCTGTCCCATCTAAGGGATGGGGTGGGGGTGGCCTGGGAAATACTTGTGAGGTTCGGAGTCCAGGGGAACAGGCTCACAAAGAGACAGACCTAATCAGGGGCCTACAGAAATGCTCACCCTTTCCCGATATCTCACCACCATATTCGTAAAGTACTATTAAAAGTAAATCTTTTTACTCAGTACATCATGTCCAGCTACGAACAGAAAGGGACAAGGCAATACTAAAAGGCAAATAAACATAGGCAGGGTGACCAGGCACAGTGGCTTACGCTTGTAATCCCGGCACTTTTGGAGGCCAAGGTGGGCAGATCACCTGAGGTCAGGAGTTCGAGATCAGCCTGGCCAGTATGGTGAAACCCCATCTCTACTAAAAATAAAAAAATGGCCGGGTGTGGTGGCTCACGTCTGTAATCCCAACACTTTGGGAGACTGAGGCAGGTGGATCACGAGGTCAGGAGATTGAGACCATCCTGGCTAACACGGTGAAACTCCGTCTCTACTAAAAATACAAAAAGAATTAGCCGGGCATGGTGGCGGGCGCCTGTAGTTCCAGCTACTCGGGAGGCTGAGGCCAGAGAATGGCGTGAACCCTGGAGGTGGAGCTTGCAGTGAGCCAAGATAGCACCACTGCACTCCAGCCTGGGCAACAGAGCAGACTCCATCTCAAAGAAAAAAATAAATAAATAAAAAATAAAAATAAAAATAAAAAAATTAGCCAGGCGTGGTGGCGTGCACCTGTAGTCCCAGCTACTCAGGAGGCTGAGACAGAAGAATCGCTTGAACCCAGGAGGCGGAGGTTGCTGAGCCGAGATCACACCACTGCACTCCAGCCTGAACTCCGTCTCAAAAAAAAAAAAAAAAAAAAAAGCACACACAGACAGGGGAAGCATCAGAACCAGGCATGATAGGGATGTTGAAGGTATCAGAGAAAACTTAAAACAACTATGATTAATATGTTATGGGCTCTAGTGAATAAAGTAGGCAGCATGCAAGAATAGATGGGCAGGTCAGGCGCAGTGGCTCATGCCTGTAATCCCAGCATTTTGGGAGGCTGAGGCAGGCAGTCACTTGAGGTCAGGAGTTCAAAACCAGCCTAGCCAACACAGTGACACTCTGTGTCTACTAAAAATACAAAAATTAGCCAGGCACCGTGATGCGCACTTGTAGTCCCAGCTACTCAGGAGGCTGAGGCACAAGACTGGCTTGAACCCGGGAGGTGGAGGCTGCAGTGAGCCCAGATCGCACCACTGCACTCCAGCCTGGGCAAGAAAGTGAGACTCCATCTCAAAAAAAAAAAGAGGCCAGGCGCGGTGGCTCAAGCCTGTAATCCCGGCACTTTGGGAGGCCGAAACGGGTGGATCATGGGGTCAGGAGATCAAGACCATCCTGGCTAACCCGGTGAAACCCCGTCTCTACTAAAAAAAAAAAATACAAAAATCTAGCCGGGCGAGGTGGCGGGCGCCTGTAGTCCCAGCTACTCGGGAGTCTTGAGGCAGGAGAATGGCGTGAACCCGGGAGGCGGAGCTTGCAGTGAGCTGAGATCCGGCCACTGCACTCCAGCCTGGGCGACAGAGCGAGACTCCGTCTCAAAAAAAAAAAAAAAAGAAAGAAAAAAAAAGGAAATACTAGTGATCAAAAACACTGTACAGAAGTGAAGAATGCCTTTGATGGGCTATTTTTATGTAGACAGTATGAGATTGAGCGAAAAAAATCAAACCTCCAAGCAAAGAGAACACTGGGGAAAAAAAAAAAGAACAGAATATCCAAGAACTGTGGCCAGCCATAAAAGGTGTAGATATGCACAATGGAAATACCCGAAGGACAGGAAAAGAACAGAAGAAAGACAGCCGGTGCCTGATGCATGGTGGTTTGACTCAGTATTTTTCAATTTTACAAGAGCGCAAAAGCAATACACATGCAGTACATTCCCCAACTTACAATGAGGCTCCATCTGGATAAATCTATTATAAGTTGAATATATTATAAGTCAAAAATGCACTTCTGACAAAGAGATTTTCAATTTAGGATGAGTTTATCAGGATGTAACCACATCATTAAGTCAAGGAGCATCTATATATGAAACAATAATTACTGAAAATTTTGCTGAAGTAATGTCAGACACCAAATCACAGATGGAGGAAAATCCGAGAATACCAAGAAGATAAATGCCAAAATACCTGCATGTAGGCATATCATTTTTAAAACACAAAAAATCAAAGATAAGCCTGAGGGGGAAAATACCTTACCTGCAAAAACCACACAAGCAAGAAAATGGAGTGAACAGTTAAGATGTTTAGAGAAAAAAAAAAAAATCCATCAAAACAGAATTCTGTACCTGCAAAATTATCCTTCAAAAGTAAAGAAAGACTTTCTTAAAAACTAAGACAATTTATTGCTGTTACAAGTAAACTTGCCTTAACTGGGCAGAAAAGGAAAATGCAGGTCAGAAACAGATACAATTTTTTTTTTTTTTTTTTGAGACAGGGTCTTACTCTGTCGCCCAGGCTGGAGTGCAGTGGCATGATCTTGGCTCACTGCAACCCTCACCTCCTGGGTTCAAGCGATTCTCATACCTCAGCCTCCTGAGTAGCCAGGACTACAAGCACGCACCACTACACCTGGCTAATTTTTATATTTGTAGTAGAGACAGGGTTTCGCCATGTTTGCCAGGCTGGTCTTGAATTCCTGACCTCAAATGACCTGCCCGCCTCGGCCTCCCGAAGTGCTGGGATTACAGGGATGAGGAGCCACCAGGCCCGGCCACAGATATACATTTTAAAAATTGAGAACATCAAAGAAAGAATAAGTGAAAGTAAAATTAAAACTTTTTTCTTATCTTTTTTTTGAGACGGTCTCACTCTGTTGCCTAAGCTGGAGTACAGTGGTGCGACAGCCTCGAACTCCTGGGCTCAAGTGATCCTCCCACCTCACCTCCCAAGTAGCTGGGGCTACAGGTGCACACCAGCACACTTGGTTTTTTGTTGTTGTTGTTGTTTTGTATAGACAAGGTCTCTGCGTTGCCCAGGCTGGTCTCAAACTCCTGGCTTCAAGTTGCCTCCTGCCCTCAGCCTCCCAAAGTGCTGGGATTACAGGCATCAGCCACCATGCCTAGCTATTTTTCTTTTTTTGTTGTTGTTGAGATGAAGTTTCACTCTGTCACCCAGGCTGGAGTACAGTAGCACGATCTTGGCTCACTGCAACCTCTGCTTCCTGAGTTCAAGCGATTCTCCTGCCTCAGCCTCCTGAGCAGCTGGGATTACAGGTGCATGCCACCACGCCCGGCACTAATTTTTGTATTTTTAGTAGCAACAGGGTTTCACCATGTTGGTCAGGCTGGTCTTGAACATCTGATCTCGTGATCCACCTGCCCTGGCCTCTCAAAGTGCTGGGATTACAGGCCTGAGCTACCACGCCTGAGCCACCATACCTGGCCATGCCTAGCTATTTTTCTTATTCTTAGTTGACCTAGTCTGTTCAAAATAGTAATAGTGGCTGGGCACGGTGGCTCACGCCTGTAATCCCAGTACTCTGGGAGGCCAAGGTGGGCGGATCATGAAGTCAGGAGATCGAGACCGTCCTGGCTAACATGGTGAAACTCCGTCTCTACTAAAAATACAAAAAAAATAGCTGGGTGTGGTGGCACGAGCCTGTATTCCCAGCTATTCGGGAGGCTGAGGCAGGAGAATCACTTGAACCTAGGAGGCAGAGGTTGCAGTGAGCCGAGATCGCGCCACTGCACTCCAGCCTGGGTAACAGAGCGAGTATCTGTCTCAAAAAAAAAAAAAAAAATCACCAAAAAACTCCTGGAACTAAGTGATTATACCAAGGTTGCAGCAGGATACAAACTTAATGTACAAAAGTCAACCCCTTTCTTGTACACAGGTGTAAGCTGAATTTGAAATAAAAAACACAATACCATTTACAGGAGCACACACAAAAATGAAATACTTAGGCGTAAGTCTAACAAAATATATAATGATATTATATAAAATCTATATGAGAAAACCTACCAAACACTGCTGAACGAAAACTAAGAACTAGATAGATATAACATGTTCATGGATAGGAAGACTCAATATTCAAGATTTCAGCTCTTCCCAGCTTGATCTACAGATTCCATGCACTGTCAGTTAAAATCCCAGCAAGTTATTTTGCAGATGTTAACGAACTGATTATAAAGTTTAGACAGACAAAAGACTTAGATTAGCTAACAGGATCCTGAAGCAGAAGGATAAAGTTGGGAGAATGAACCTGACTTCAAGACTTATAGGCTGGGCATGGTGGCTCACACCTGTTATCCCACCAACACTTTGAGAGGCCAAGGAGGAAGAAGTGCTTGAGGCCAAGAGTTGCAGGCCAGCCAAGGTAACACAGTGAGACCCTATCTGTACCAAAAAAAGAAAAAAAAATTTAATTAGCCAGATGTGGTGGCACGTGCCTGTAATCCCAGTTACTCAGGAAGCTGAGGTGGGAGGATCCCTTGAGCCCAGGAGTTCGAGGCTGCAATGAGCTGTGACTGTTCCACTGCACTCCAGCCTGGGCGACAGAGCGAGACTCCGTCTCAACAACAACAACAAAAAAGACTTATTTTAAAGCTACAAAAATCAAGACAGTGTGGTAGTGTGGTATTAGTGAAAGAACAAATAGACCAACAGAACTCAATAAAGAGCCCAGAAATAGACCCATATAAATATAGTCAACTGATCTCTGACAAAGGAACAAACTCACAGGGGGGAAATATCCACTCCTTTCTCTCACTTCTTTAGCACCACAGCCTTCCTCGCTGTGTCCTCTCCTTTCATTAACCTAAGTCCTCACCTCGGTCCTCTTGAGGGTTCTAGTTGGTCACACTCTGAGCTTCCACGAATATAGTAAGGTGTCTTTACATATTTCCAGTTTAGACTTCCCATGTGAGTTACAGGCTGAAATATAGGCATTGGATATTCAATACCTGCGAAAGTCTCTCCCAGTCCCTCTTCTAACAGCATTCCTAGTCTCCGGCTGTATAGCTCAGTGGCAGAGCACAACATCCGGCAACGTCGTCGCCACCACTCACCGAGGGCAATGGATTTGGCAATCAAGTCACTTGTAAACTCTCCCCTCTGGTTTATTCCGTCAATCATTCATAAAGTCCAGATGATCCCCTGGCCCGCCCCTTACCTCTTGGACTCTCGAGCTCCGCTCCTAGCCTTTTCTCCCCACTCATACACCTGTAATTGTGTCCACAGTTCACTAGACTACCCTCCCCACCAAACCAAAGCTCCCCTAAAATCAGGAACATACATAATTTATCTCTGCATTGCCAGCACCAGCTCTAGAGTTCAGCACACAAAAAGACACTCCATAAACAAGCACTTGGCCAAACGAAAAAGGAGGAACTGGTAATTTCTCCAACGAAGTTCCAACGGTCTGCGTAAGACAACTTTCTGTAGAAAACACGAAAAGATGGAGGATCCTCAGATTTCAGGGCCCGCAGCTGGCAATGAAGTGCAGTATAATTGCCCGTCACAGATTACCACGAGGCACTTTTCTGCAGGACCAGAGCTTGGATGAGCTTTAGAGGAGCTTCGGTTTGGCGGGGAGGGTAGTCTAGTGAACTATGGACACAATTACAGGTGAACGTTCCCGGGAGTAACCCTGAAGAGATCAACGTGGCCACCCTCAGTATCCAGTCGACTTTTAAACACGGAAAGTCTCTACTTACCCAGCACGAAGCTGTCCGGAAACTGGTGGCCATCCCCACGCCCACGTTCGTGCGCTGCCTAGGGGGCAGGACCCGCGGGCTGCGGAGAGACCGTGAGGGATGCGTCCGCACGAAGACAGGTGCGGGTCCTGGGTCCCAGGCACCTGACCGTCCCGGGGCTGAGTCGCTCGCAGGGACGCCGGCTCCTCAGCTCTCGCCCAACGCGGAGCGCGCGTGACTAGACGGCCTCCCGGTCTGGGTACCAGGAGTCGCACCGATGGATTTGTGCCGTTCAGCAGCCCTGACTCGGGAGAGCAGGCGGCTGGCCTGGCTCCGTCCACGCCCCGAACCGACGGAGGTGTTTAGCTGGTCAAGTCCCTGGTCGGCCCCGGATAATCCCAGCCGCTTAGCTCCGCGCCTCCGCGGTCATACAGGATAGCCAGGTACACCCACTGGCCAGATTTCGGTCCACTGAGTCTAAGCCGGAAACAGCCCTGCACGCGCGCACCCGACTAGGACAGGGTGTGTGGCGCATGCGGAAGTGCGTCAGGCGTCGATGCGCCAGGACGCGACAGCGCCGGAAAAACTACATCTCCCACAATCCTCGGCGAAGGCTCCCTAGTTACAGGCCTGACTTCCAGCTGCAGCGTATCTGGAGCGGGGCACAGCCTGACAGGAAAGGAAGGTTGGGAGGGGGCTCCGTCAGCGGCACCTGGTTCACCCTCCCCCGGCTGCGCCAGGTTCAGTACCATCCTCGGAGTACGGACGCCCAGTTTCCCAGGGCCTGTAGAACTGACTCAGAGTCTGACCCCAGCAGAGACGCAGGCGTGCTGAGGTCTTGATATCAAACAAGATAGGGTTCAGACCAGAAGGCACAGCAAAAAAGGACGCTTTGTAAAGCTAAAAGCTGCAATTCGTAGGGCTAAATAACAGTTTGGAAATCAGTGCACCAAATAATAGAGTAACCAACTTCATAAAGAAGAAACTATAGTAGATGTTAAAGACAAATAAATAGAACCACACCAATAATGAAACTGCCTTTGCAAAAATTATATCAGTGAGAAAATTATTGCCGTGGGGGAGGTCTAATCTAACCAAACCCGCGACCCCACGCGCCTTTGGCTCTTCTGGGCTTAGGCCAAGCTAACTTTGGAAGACATTTAGGTTATAGTTTAAATGATAACCCTTTTCCAAAACTCAACTGCCTTTGTAAACCTATGAGAGACCAAGCTAGGGGGAGGAGAGGAGCCTGAATTCTAAGATGTAGATTGGTCACAAGATATGCAGCTTCCCCAATTACTCCCACAGATAACAGATAACACCACTATTGTAGATTAACCTTTCGAGATTTAAAAATGTGCAAAATGGCCAGGCGATGGCTCACGTCTGTAATCCCAGCACTTTGGAGGGCTGAGGTGGGTGGATCGCCCAGGAGTTGGAGACTAGCCTGGGCAACATGACGAAATCTCGTCTCTACAAAACATATCAAAAGTCAGCCGGATGCAGTGGCATGCATCTGTAGTCTCAGCTACTTGGGAGGCTAAGGCAGCAGAATTGCTTGAGCCCGTGAGGCGGAGGTTGCAGTGAGCCGAGATTGCACCATTGTGCTCCAGCCTGGATGACAGGAGTGAAACCTGTCTCAAAAAAAAAAAAAAAAAAAAAAAAGCCAAACATCTGAATAGACATTTCTCAAAAGAAGACATACAAATGGCAAACAGGTAAATGAAAAGGTACACAATATCATTGATCATCAGAGAAATGCAAATCAAAACTACAATGAGATATTATCTCACCCCAGTTAAGATGACTATTATCCAAAAGACAAGCAATAATAAATGCTGATGAGGTTATGGGGAAAAGGGAACACCTGTACACTCTTGGTGGGAATGTAAATTAGTACAACCACTATGGAGAGCAGTTTGGAGGTTCCTCAAAAAAATAAAAATAGAACTACCATACAATCCAGCTATCCTACTCCTAGGTATGTACCCAAAAGAAAGAAAATCAGTATATTTAAGCGCTGTCTGCACTCCCTTGTTTATTGCAGCACTATTCACAATAACCAAGATTTGGAAGTAACTGAAGTGCCAATCAACAGGTTAATGAATAAAGGAAATGTGATACATATACACAATGGAGTACTAGGAAGCCATAAAAAAGAATGAGATCCTGTCATTTGCAACAACATGGATGGAACTGGAGATCATTATATTAAGTGAAATAAGCGAGGCAGAGAAAGACAAACTTCACATATTCTCACTTATTTGTGGGAGCCAAAAATTAAAACAATTGAACTCATGATGATGGAGAGTAGAAAGATGGTTACCAGGCCGGGCGCGGTGGCTCAAGCCTGTAATCCCAGCACTTTGGGAGGCCGAGACGGGTGGATCACGAGGTCAGGAGATCGAGACCATCCTGGTTAACATGGTGAAACCCCGTCTCTACTAAAAAAATACAAAAAACTAGCCGGGCGAGGTGGTGGGCGCCTGTAGTCTCAGCTACTTGGGAGGCTGAGGCAGGAGAATGGCGTGAACCTGGGAGGCGGAGCTTGCAGTGAGCTGAGATCCGGCCACTGCACTCCAGCCCGGGCGACAGAGCCAGACTCCGTCTCAAAAAAAAAAAAAAAAAGAAAGATGGTTACCAGCAGCTGGAGAGTAGTGGGACACTGGGAGGGATGGAAATGGTCATTTGGTAGAAAAAATAGAAAGAATAAGACCTAATATTTTCTAGCACAGCAGGATATACTCAAAAATAATTTAATTGTACGTTTAAAAATAACTAAAAGTATAATTGAATTGCTTGTAACACAAAGGATAAATGCTTGAGGATACCCCATTTTCCCTGATGTGATTTTTATGCATTGCATAATAATATGCATTCTATATCAAAATGTCTCATGTAATCCATAAATGTATACACCTACTATGGACTCCTAATAATTAAAAATTTAAAAAATTAGTCAGGTTTGGTGGCATACACCTGTAATCCCAGCTACTTGGGAGACTGAGGCAGGAGAAATGCTTGATCCTGAGAGGTTGAGGCTGCAGTGAGCCATGATCCCACCACTGCATTCCAGTCTGGGCAACAGAATGAGACCCTGTCTCAAAAAAAGAAATTAATTAATTAAAAATTTTCCCACAGAGAAAATCTGGGAGTGGATGGCTCCACTAGTGAGTTCCATCAAATATGTAAAGAAAGGATAATTCTTCAGAAATTATTTCAGAAAATAGATAAGAGGGAATACTTCCCTACTTATTCTATGAAGCCAGTATTATTCTCATACCAGAGTTAGACAAAGACATCACAAGGGAAAAACAAAATAAAACTACACACCAATATTCCTATGGTATGTAGTACCATAGACATAGACACAAAAATTCTTAACAGGCTTGGACTTTTTTTCACCTCAAACTGGTTTTGCAGGTGTTTACTCGTGTGAAAACTTACCAAATTGTTTAAATATGTGCAGTTTATTCTATATCGATTATAACTTAATAAAGCTGTTTAAGAAAAATGTTAGTAAACTGAATCTGGCAACGTACAAAAAGGATTTTATAACATGACCAAATGGAATATATACCAAGAGTGTAAGATTGGTTCAACACTGAAAATCAGTATAATAAAAGACAAAAACTATATAACCATTTCAACAGATGCAGCAAAAGGCATTTAGCAAAACCAACATCTACTCATGGCAAAAACTCTCAACCATTTAGGAATAAAAGGGAATTTCCTCAACTTGATAATGGGCATTTAAAAAAACCCTAGTTAACATCCTACAGAACCGTGAAAGACTGAATGTTTTCCCCCTATAATAGGAAACAAGCAAGGGTGTCTGCTTTCAACACTTCTGTTCAACGTTGTACTGGATGTTCTAGCTGGTTGTGTTTAACCTTGTACTGGATGTCCCAGCTGGTTCCGTTCAGCGTTGTACTGGATGTTCTAGCTGGTTGTGTTCAACGTTGTACTGGATGTTCTACTTGTTTCTGTTCAACCTTGTACCGGATGTCCTAGCTGGTTCCGTTCAGCGTTGTACCGGATGTCCTAGCTGGTTCCGTTCAGCGTTGTACGGATGTCTAGCCGGTTCCGTTCAGCGTTGTACCGGATGTCCCTAGCTAGTTCCGTTCAGCGGTGCCGGATGTCCCCTAGCTGGTTCCGTTCCTGGTTCCGTTCAGCGTTGTACCGGATGTCCTAGCTGGTTCCGTTCAACGTTGTAAAGGATGTTCTAGTTGCTTCTGTTCAACGTTGTACTGGATGTTCTAGTTGCTTGTGTTCAACGTTGTACTGGATGTTCTAGTTGGTTCTGTTCAGCATTTACTGGATGTTCTAGCTGGTGCAGTCAAGCAAAAGAAAAGAAAGAGAAGAAAGCATCCAGATTGGAAAAAAGTAAAACTGCCTTTATTCACAGATGACAGGATTCTGTATATAGAAAATATCAAGGAATCAATGATAATAATAAAACTACTGAAACTAATAAAAGATGTTAGCATGGTCAAAGGTTACAAGATCAATATATAAACACTATACTTCTATATACTAGCAATGAATAATCTTAAAATAAAGTTAACAATTTCACACCATCAAAAAGAATAAAATAGTAACAAATTTAATAAAAGAAGTAAAAATGTGGCCAGGCACAGTGGCCCATGCCTGTAATCCCAGCACTTTGGGAGGCCAAGGCAGATGGATCGCGAGGTCAGAAGATTGAGACCATCCTGGCCAACACAGTGAAACCCCGTCCCTACTAAAAATATAAAAAATTATCCGGGCGTGGTGGTGGGCGCCTGTAGTCCCAGCTACTTGGGAGCCTGAGGCAGGAGAATCGCTGGAACCCGGGAGGCAGAGGTTGCAGTGAGCCGAGATCGTGCCACTGTACTCCAGCCTGGGCGACAGAGCGAGACTCCGTCTCAAAAAAACAAAAAGGAATAGCAAAACAATTTTGAAAAAGAATAAAGTTGAAAGACTTACACTACTTGATTTTAAATTTGCTATAAAGCCACAGTGATGAAGACA